TCCCTCCCTCCCTCCCTCCCTCCTTCCCTTGAGTCTTTCTGAGACACACACAGTCTCATATAGCCCAGGCTAACCCTGAACTCCTGATACTCCTGCCTCCACCTCCCAAGTGCTGTGGGATGACAGGCATGCACCACCACATCCAGCAAAGCTCAAGGGAGGGGCCGGAGCAATGGCTCAGCAGTTAAGAGCACTGGCTGCTCTTGTAGAGAACCCGGGTTCATGTCCCCGAACTCACATGGCAGCTAACAACCATCCATAACTCCACCTCCAGGGGATCCAACACCCTCTTCTCTCCTCTCCAGATGGTCAGCATCTCGGAGTCCAGATGGGGCTCTGCTGTTGCCTCCCTGGCCTCCATGGAGCCTCAGACTGACCAGAGATCAGGGTGTTGAGGCCTCATCTCCCTCCTTTCATGAGAAGAAGCCAGCCAAGGAAAGGACTATTGGGGGAGGGGGACCACGAAGGCCTTGAAGGCTGAGGAGACCAACTGGGATGCCTCTCCAATCAGAGGGAGCAGGTGGATGGCAGAGCATTCCTTCTCTCTCCAGAGACCTGGCCCTGAACATTTCCTGTGATGTGGGCTGAGCCTCTGCTCCTTACCTGCCTCTGTCTCCCCTTCTGTCAGCACCCCCAGATGGGAGAAGCAGAGTTGGTGGGTTCTGAAGTGTCAGGTGCTGGTGACAGTCAAGTCTTGAGGGCTCTAACTAGCACCTGGTGTTCCCAGCAGGCCCAAGTCTGCAATGACATTGGGGAGCTTCCCCTGGGTTGGTTGCCGGGACTGAACTAGTCCCCTCCCTGATTGATGGCTGGGTTTCAGAGGTCACAAGACACCATGCAGGCTGCTGCCAATCCTGCCGGCTATGGACCCTGTGTGGTACAAACCCTAAGGTGTCAGACAACATGGGCCTGCTGATGCTGGAGTGGTACAGGGGTTAGGGGCACAACCCATTGCTTTCCCACTGGATTTGAAGCTCTTATTGTATGACAGTTTCCACACATATAAAGCATTCCAACTGGAGGGAAGCTTTTAGTAAAAATTTTAATTTGGGGGGGCTGGAGAGATGGCTCAGCAGTTAAGAACACTGGTTGTTCTTGCAGAAGACCTGGGTTCTAATCCCAGCACCCACATGGCAGCTAACAACTGTCCGTAACTCCAGTTCCAGGGGATCCGACAGCCTCTTCTGTCCTCTGCGGGCATTGCACAACACAGGTGCACTTACCTACATGCAGGCAATACACGCACACACATTAAAAAAATTAAAAAAAAATTTATTTGCCTGTATGTATGTAAGTGTACCCATGTCATACAGTCCCTTCTGAGGTCAAAAGAGGGAGTCTGGAACTGGAGTTACAGACAGTTCTTAGCCACCATGTTGGTGCTGGAAACTGAACCCAGGTCCTCTGCAAGAGCAGCCAGTTAAGTCGCAAGGTGTTCTGAAGAGAGGTGACACATTCCATGCTGCAGGGAAGCTCAGGATGAGCTCAGGAAATAACCTAATACTGTCAGGAAGACCCTGAAACTGACCAGGTTTACTAGACCCTCTCCCCAAGTGCATATAAGTCCTAAGGACTGCTGGGTGACTCTCTGAGACAAGCCAAGCTGCCTGGAACAGGGTTAGACCAGCTGAGCTGCCTGAAAAGGACATTCTCCAGCCTGTGTCTGCCTGCATTGTGCAGTGCATTCCAGGGTTCCCGCTTCTGTGAACTGTCATCCATGTTGGGGTGCCCATGTAACCCTACACCCATCCTTCTGTAAGTAGTATACCGTCATTATACTCCAATAAAGATTTATCTTATTTTTAATTATGTGGATGTGCGTGTCTCTGTTTGGATTTGTCCTCATGTGAGTGCAGTGCCTGCAGAGACCAGAAGAGGGCGTCAAATACCTGGAGCTGGAGATACAGGTAGATGTGAGCCACTGGACATGGGTACTGGGAACTGAACTCTAGTCCTGGGCAAGAATTGTGCATGCTTAAGCACTGAGCCGTCTCTTCAGCCTCTGTGACCTCAATAGAAACTCACTGGTTCACTAAGTTAGACTTGGTTGGAATCATTCCTTTGGTTTGTTGATGTGCCCTAAGTGGGATGAATAGACAATTGTGTTTTCCCAGAAAGAGCCTCTTGCAGAGGACCTGGGTTCGATTCCTAGCATCCACAGACCTAACAACCATCTGTAATTCCAGTTCCAGAGGATCTGATGCCCTCTTTTGACCTCTGCAGGCAGGTATGCATGCAGGAAAAATACTCATACATATAAAATAAAAATAATCCATTTTAGGCCCATGTGGTGGCACACGCCTTTAATCTTAGTACTCAGGAGGCAGAGGCAGGCAGATCTCTATGAGATGGAGGCCAGCCTGGTCTAATAGTGAGTTCCAGGCCAGATGAGACAGGGAGACTCTGTCTCAAAAAGACCAAATAATAACAATAATAATACATTTTAAAATTATGTGTACGTGTGTCTGTGTGTGCACATGTATGGCGCCTTCTGAGGCCAGAGGCACTGGCTCCACTAGAGTTGGAGTTACAGGTAATTGTTAGCCATCAAGTGTGTGTGCTAGAACCAAACTGCAAGAGCAGCCAGTGCTCAACCACCAAACTGTCTCTCTATCCCTCCACCTTGTTTTTTTGAGGCAGGGTCTCTCACTGAACCTGGCACTCACTGATTGGGTAGTCTGGTTGGTCAACGAGCCCCAGAGATTCTCCTGCCTCTGCTTCCCAGTGCTGCAGTTACAAGAGCACCCGCCCTGGCTTGATAAGTGAGTGCTGGGGATTGGAGCCAAGTCTTCCCCTTTGTGGAGAAGCGTTTTACTGCTGGAAGCTTCTCTGCCTCACCCTCCTGTCTTGAGTCCCAGAGTCTCCAGAGTTCCGGTGTGTTGAGGGGTTCATTCCCAACTTGGTGCTGTTATGAGAAGGCTGAACCTTTAAGAGGCAGTTAAAGCAGGGTGTAGTGGCACATGCCTTTAATCCGAGCACTTGGGAGGCAGAGGCAGGTGGATCTCTGTGAGTTCAAGGCCAGCCTGGTCTACATAGTGAGTTCAGGTCAGCTGGGGCTACAGGGAGACCCTGTCTCAAAAGAAAAAAAAGAAAAAAAAAGAAAAGAAAGAAAGAAGTGGTTGAGTCAGTGGGGTTTGCTCTTGGCAGCTTTTACATCATGGCTGCCATGAGCACTTCCTGCCCTACCAGCTCCCACACCACACTAACCCATGCAAGCACGAGGGCCTGACTTGAAATCCCCAGCACCCAAGTAAAAAGCCAAGTGTAGAGACCTGGAGTGCTGTCGCATGCCTTTAATCCCAGCACTCAGGAGGCAGAAGCAGGCTGATCTCTGTGACATAGAAGCCAGCCTGGTCTACATAGTGAGTGCCAGGCCAGCTGGGGCTACAGGGAGACCCTTTCTTAAAAAACAAACATGAAAGAACCAATCAACAAGAAGCCCCTCAATTCTCCAGAGTGTGAGTTCACAACAGCTGGCCAGAATTTGAATCCACAACCGACTCAAGAGCCCCACCCTGTCCCCATCACAGCAAACAGAGGATTGTGTTCACGTCTGGCAAAAAATGACAACATGAAACCAAAGAGGCTGATTGTGAGAACTTATTTGGGGGTTTCCAAGCTCCTCCTGGGTAGGTGTTTTGGGGTTCAGTTCTTCAGACCTGTGAATGCTTTTTCTTTCTAGTAGGAAGTCTCTGGGGAGGAAGACCCAGTGGTAGACACACGTTAGATCTTTCTTCTGCGACAGCCTTCCCCAGGACCATGCCTTGATGGTGCAATGGTGAGTCATATATCGTGACCCTACTTCTGTGGAAGATGTGATGGGATGAACTGGAGCGTAGCTGAGACACTGGCTTCTTACAAACTGGACTCTAGGCTTCTCAGAGCAGGGAACCACCCACCTGGATGGGATGCACCTGTGGGAGGCTGGCGAGGCGAGACTCAGGTTAGCGTGTGGGCTCCTGGCTGCATGTGAGCTCATTCTGTAGGACCCTATGGGTCTCATGTATGAGCACCATGAAGGAAATGGGTCACTTACAAATGGTTCCTGTTCCCAGGTCCCCCTGTCATCATTGTTAGAGAGACGACACCCAGGAGCAAACACAGGAGCCACAAAAGCTGTTAAAATGTCTTTTAAAAAATCTATTTTTATTTTATGTGTATGAGTGTTTGCCTGCATGTAAGCACACCTATTCCATACAATGCCTGCGGAGGCCAGAAGATGGTGTTGAATTGCCTGGAACTGGAGTTATAGATGGTTGTTAGCCACCATGTGGATGCTGGGAATCAAGCCCAGAGCTTCCACAAGAACAGCCAGTGCTCTTGACTGCTGAGCCAGCTCTCCAGCCCATTAAAATTTCTCAATAGACAGGCTAAGAAGACAGTTCTGTGGGTTAGGTGCCTGCCTCACAAGTATGAGGACCTGAGTTCAATTCCCAGCATCCACATAAAATCTGGGTGTGGTGGTGCATGCCTGTAACACTAAGTATAGGAAGGTGCGGACAGGAGGATCCCAAGGGCTCCCTGGCTGCCTGCCTAGCTCGATCACGGACCTTTAGGTTCAATGAGAGACTCAGTCTCAAAAAATAAGGTGGATGGGGCTGGGAAATGTCTCAGTGGGTAAGAGCACTTGCTGTGAAAGCACAGGGGCCTGAGTTTAAATCCTGAGCACCATGTAAAATGCTGGGAGTGGACTGGAGACAGGATGGCTGGGACTCACTGGGCATCGGCTTGGCTCCAGGTGCAGAGAGACCCTGACTTGAGGGAATAAGGTGGACAGTGACGGGGCAATACATCGACGTCCTCCTCTGGCCTCCACATGCATGCACGGTCATACACGTGTGTGCACACACCACACACATGAGAAAGATGGAGAGCGACAGACACATGATGCTGATCTCCAGCCTCCACTCACAAGCACACCTATACACTCAACACACACATGCGTGTGCACATATTTTTTTAATCCAGGCATAGTGACTCACACCTGTCAGTCATCTCAGTACTCAGGAGATGGAGTCAGGAGGATTAGGACTTCAGAGTCACCCTTGGCTATAATAGTGAGTTCCAGGTCAGCCTGAGGTACAGGAGACCCTGTCTTAAAATAAGGGGGGGGTGGGACTGGAGAGATGGTTCAGTGGTTAACAACACCAGTTGCTCTTGCAGAGGACCCAGGTTCAGTTCCCAGCACCCACATGGCAGCTAACCACCATCCATAACTCCAGTTCTAGGGAATTCGACAGCCTCTTCTGGCCTCCTCAGGCATTGCATGCGTGTAGTGCACCTACATACATGCAGGCAAAACACACACAAAAAGACAAGCCATGCAGGGTACTGTACACCCTCCCATGCCTCAGCAGATGCAGCATGTGCTGGTCAAGATGCTACCCAGAACCTACCACAACTAAATGTTCATGCACATGTGTGCATATGTGTACACATGTGTGAGTGCTGGAGCTCTGAAGTGCCACCTGATGTCCCACTGTCCACATCCGGAGCCCCATGCTACACCCAGCAATGCCCAGCCCGAGAAGCAGGCCAGGCTTCCTACCATCGGGAAGCTTGAGGCAGCTTCCACGGCAGCTGTCAGGAGTACAAGCTATTGATCTGCGACTTGCACTTTTGGGCTATGAAACGTCTCCGAAGTTTTGTTGTTGGACCTGTGTTGGAAAAAGAGATGGGTCAATTTGCAGAGGTGGAAAAAATTCCATATTTACCATGGAAGTGGGGTCCCAGGCTGGGCAGGTAGCTGTGGCTACCCATGTCCAGGGGTTACTGCTCTGCCGTCAGCATGGGGGTGGGTCACAGGATGTCTGTGTGGACCATGGGATGGTGAGGGTATGGCTATAGTAAGGAGTGGTTCTGTTTTAAGATTTTATGTTTTTGTCTTATTTTTTTCTTTGTTTTTCAGATGGGGTCTCCCTGTAGCTCCAGCTTGTCAGGAACTCACTATGTAGAACAGGTTGGCCTTGATCTCAAAGAGATCCACCTGCCTCTGCCTCACAAGTGCTGGGACTAAAGGTGTGTACCACCACGCCTGACATATTTTCTTAAATTTTTTTTATGTGTATGAAAGTTTTACCTGCATGTATGTAAGTGCACCAGGTGTGTGCAGTGCCCACAAAGGCCAGAAGAGGGTGTTGGATCCATCGGATATTGAGTTACAAATGGTTCTTAACCCCCATGTGGGTACTGGGAACCCGGGTCCTCTGCAAAAGCAGCAGTGCTCTTGACGGCTCAGTAGCTATCTCTCCAGCGCCCTACAAGAGGTTTTTATTTTCTTTCCAGAACATCAATGTGTCCATCATAGGGAGGTGAGCCTGGGGGCTAGGTACAGTAAGTGGAGGGGACAGTGTCCTGGGTCCTGGCTGCTCCCACAGACCTGAGCCCTGGAGAAGCCACATCTCGGAGCCCAGCAACAGGGTGCTAGCAAGGAGCTGCCCTCTGAGGGCCAGGATCCAGTCTACTCACCCAGCTCTCCGCCCTGGATGGAAAAAGTCTTTCTCCAAGATAATCCACTTTTGGACTCTCTGCACATCAGTCAAGGCTTCCTGGCTCACTGCATCTATGCCGAACTGGATGGCCATGTAGACCAGTGGATCTTGAAGCATTACTATGTCTGACACGGTAGTCACCTGACTGCCCAACACCCGGCAGAACTTGATGGCCTCAGGGCTCAGCTTGTCCAGGGGCTGTCCAGTTATCTGATCTGTCTCACACTGCCCCAGGACAGACCTGTCACCCCCTGTGTTCCCTGGTCACCGCACCCTCAATCCAGGGGGTGCTGAAGACCAAGAAACAGGCCTGGAACCTAGGGATACCCTGAACCTCCTTGACCTCAGGGCTGGGTGAAACAGGCTTGATTGTCTGGAGCCGCCTGGAGGCTGCTGAGCCCACACTACCTTCAATGTAAGCAGCAGGCTGAGGAACATGGCCTTGTCACCTACTAGGATGGCATTGCTCACAATGGGAATCTTCTCCTTCGCCAGTGTCTCTATGGGGATGGGCAGCACGCTCTCTCCTCTGGCTGTGATCAGGATTTCTGGAGGAAAATGCCTGGCTTGGTACAGGTCCAACAGTGATAGTATGACCCCTACCTCCTTGGGGACCAGGACACCTGTTGCTGTGGACACTTCCCTTGAGAACCCCAGGACCACAGAGGATCGTGCCCTGACTCCCATCCACTCTAGATTCCACCAAACATCTAAGTCCTCAGATTCCACTCGAATGTCTTTGTTAGGTCATTTAAGACAGACTCTTGCTCTGTGGCTCAGGCTAGCCTTGGACTCATGGTCCTGCCTCAGTCTCCCTACTGCTGGGGGATGGCTCTGCCCTCGGTCACCCCTGGTACCCCCAATGCCCCTGGCACCCTAGTAGCACTGGTTTGCCCAGTATGCCATGATGCCCCCCTGTACTCCCAGGACCTCTGGTTACCCTAGTACCTTTGATGCGGCCAGTGATGTAGAGGAAGCCCTGATTGTCCAAGCAGCCCATATCCCCTGAGTGCAGCCAGCCATCCTCATCAATGACCTCCATTGTGGCATCCTCCATGTCCAGGTAGCCCATGAACACGTGCCTACCCCACATGCACACCTCCCCAAGACTGTCCTTGTTCTGCTGGTACAGGATGTTCTTACACCCGTTGAGGATCTTGCCACTGCTGTCGGGGGACAGGAATGGGGAAACTGAAGCCCAGAGACACAGAGTCATTTGCCCCAAGTCTGCCTGGATCCTCAGCCTGGGGTCCTAATGCTCTGAAGCTGGGCCTGGCTGGACTCGTGCCCTCTCTGAGACCCACTGGACGTAAAGTCCACCCAGTTTAGAGCTCCCAATGCTGTGAACATGGAGGTCAAGCAGTACCTGGTGTGATTTTTATTCCCACGTATGATGGGGAAGGAAAAATGCTAAGGACTAACAGAACAGTTACCCCCTTTACGCAGACCTTGAACAGCACAGCCATGCAATGGCAGGCTGGGGCAGCTGAACTTAGGCAACAGCAATCTAGGGTCTCTTCAGAGCCTGCAGCCATGTGCCACTATGCTGAGAAGCCAGCTTTTTAAAAATATTTTATCATATTTTATTTTTTTTGGTCTTTTTGAGACAGGGTCTCCCTATAGCCCTAGCTGGCCTGGATTCACTATGGAGACCAGGCTGGCCTCAAACTCATAGAGATCCACCTGCCTCTGCCTCCCAAGTGCTGGGATTAAAGGCGTGCATCACCACGCCCGGCTATTTATTATTTTTTTATTTTATGTGTACAAGTGTATTGCCTGCATGTATGTGAGTGCACCTGTGTTGTGCAATGCCTTGGAGGTCAGAAGAGGGCTTTGGATTCCCCTGGAACTGGAGTTAAGACGGTTTGTAGCCGCCGTGTGGGTGCTGGGAATCGAACCCCGGTCCTCTGCAAGAGCAGTCAGTGCTCTTAAGCGCTGAGCCATCTCTCCAGCCCCATGAGAAGCCAGCTTTTAAAATGGGTGGGAAATATAGGCAGCTAACTGAGAGACAAGGAAGCACAGGTGGTTTTGAAATGTATAAAAGATTTTTTTTCAAGCTCATAATAGGAACTGAAATTAAATCGAGGTAGCGTTTTTTTTTGTTTTTTTTTTCACTAGTCTATTGCAAGGTACTGTGCACGTCGACTTTGCCTCCTGGCATAAACTTTTCCTCCTCTGAGTGGCCTTGGTCATGGTGTTTGATCACAACAGTTAAGTAACTAGTACAGCCCCTTCCCTAGGCTGGGGACGGGAGAGGAGACTTTCCAGGAGCTGCCTAGATGCCTGCAGGGAGCTTGAGGGATGCAGCCTCTGTGAGTGGCCAACCATGCTGGGGTGGGCTTTTCAGTGACACGCCTTTGGGTCACCCACAGCCCTATAAGTAACCCCAGTAAACTCACTGAACTGACAGGTGGAATCCTTTTTTTGGTCTGTTTTCAGTGCCCTATCCAGGGGTGAATAGATGTTTGTGGGCATCTCCCCAGGAAAAGTCACATAAGACAGTAGATGGTTCTAGAACAATTTCCCTTCACTGTAGGCTGCGTGAAAAGCTAAGAGACCTGGGCTGGAAAAAAGGGCCTTCAGGATACCCAAAGTCAGAGTGCATCTCAGCACAGTGGTCCCTGCCTCTGTCCACTCCCTAACCCCGAGGTCCTGGAAGACCTCGGGATGCTGAGCCTGGTACCTCAGGACCCTGTAGTTGGTCTTGCTGGAGACGGAGTGGGGTCCGGAGCTCTCACTCATGCCGTAGAGCTCACCGATGTGGATGTCCAGGCCGAGGAAGAACTCAGAGTCGTCCTGAGAGAGGGGTGCCACTGCACTGAGGAAGGAGTGGCGGCGATCCAGACCCAGGGATAGCCTCACCTTGCTGAACACAAGTGCGTTGGCTATGCGGTAGTTCATGGGAATGTCTCTCTTCCTGTGGACGGCAGTGGCAAGGATGGTTCAACCTTCGATGAGCAGAAAGGGTGCTGGAGGGACCCTCCCGGCCCTTGGGAGGATGTGGCACCCACCCCAGCATCCGCTTGGTGTTGACCTTCAAGCCAATGATTTTGGCCCACTTGAAGACCTTCTTCCACAGGTTGGAGGACCTGGTCACACTCTCCTTGATGGTTTCCTGCATCTTCTCCCAGATGCCAGGCATCCCAAGGAAGGCGGTGGGCTTCACCTCCTGGAGTGTGGACACTAGGGTGCCCTGCCTGTGACACAGTGGGGGTGCTATTGGGGCCTTCCTGGAGCCATGTGTCCATCTCCCTGAGCCTCCCCAGCCCAGCCTTCACAGCTGACAGGACTAGACATGAGAGCTGGCACAGCCAGCCAGAGGCTTCTCTCTCTTTCTCTCTCCCTCTCTCTCTTCCCCTCTTCTCTCCCCCACCCCTCGATTTGATGGGAAAACACAAACTGGTGAGATCATTTCAGAATCGAAATGTTGAAACACGTTTAACATTTTGGCCCCAACCCTGGCAGCTTTAAGTGAAGGAATTTAGCTAAAGAACACTGGGCTTACAGAGAGATGCAACCAAGATATTGCAATGGGACAGAAATAGTCTAAATGTTCAACAATTGGGCATTGGCTAAAAATTTGTCCAAGTGTGCAGTGGAATATGATACAACCATTAAACCATTAAAAAGATGCAAGAGCTGCTTCCTTGAAATTGATCCACAGATTCAATGCAACCATGATCAAAACCTAGACAGTCATTGATAAGTGAATGGTTAAGTTCTCCATAGAGAACAAAGGGTCTAGAATAACACAAGCAATTTTGGAAAAGGACACAACTGTAGGATTTACAACCTAAGCTTTAAAGTTTTTATTTTGTTTTATTTTATTTTATTTGGACACAGTCCTTCTAGTAGCCCAGGTTGGCCTGGAACTTGTGATCTTCCTGTCCCAGCCTCCAGAGTGTTGGAATTATAGGCATACACCACTGTCCAGCCCCAGGGTGGCTTGATACAGATGAAATTCTACATCAGGGATCAGCTGATTTTCAGCAAAGGCACCAAAGTGACTCCTTGCAGTTGGGGAAAATCAGTGTTCATAAACAAAAGAAGCAAGTCTGCTTGGCTTGGAGTATGACTACTTGCCCAACACAAAACCCAAAGATGGAGAGCTTGTAACACCAGAGGGCACAGAGGCTTCTTTGGCATGATACCAAACATTTAAAAGAGGAAAAAAATAATAAATCAGACCTCATCAAAGCCAGACGTTTTTGGTTCTTCAAAACACAGTGAAGAAAACAAAAGACAAGAACTGGAGGTGGATTTATAAATCCTGTACTTGGTAAGGACTCGTCTGAATATGTAAATAACCCTTAAAAATCAACAAGAGGGCTGGAGATGGCTCAGTGGTTAGGACCACTGGCTGCTCCCAGAGGACCTGGATTCAGTTCCTAACATGGCAGCTAACAACTAACATGGCAGCTAACAACTGTCCAGTTCCAGGGGATCTGACACACTCTTCTGTCCTCTGTGGGCATTGCACACATGTGGCACACTTACATACATGCAGGGAAGACACTCATACACATGAAATAAGAAATGAAATAAAAAAAGTTTAACCCCAGCATTGGGAAGGCAGAGGCAGGTAGACTGCAACATACCCTGGTCCACATAGTGATCCGGGCCAGATGGGGCCACAGGGAGACCCTGTCTCAGAAACAATCAAGAGCCTGGTGTGGTGGCGCACGCCTTTAAACTCAGCACTCAGGAGGTAGAGGCAGGTGGATCTCTATGAATTTCAGGCCAGCTTGGTCTACATAGTGAGTTCCATGCCAGCTGGGGCTACAGGGAGACCCTGTCTCAAAAAGACAAAAACAAAAACAAAATAACAACAAAAGTATCTGTCCAATGGGTGGATGAAAACTCCTAGAACTGATCAACACTTTCAGTATAGTGGCAGGTTATAAAATCAATCTACAAAAATCAGTAGCCTTTCTACATACCAATAACAAGCAATTGGAGAAAGAGTACAGGGAGATGCTCCCATTCACAATTGCTGCAAAAAAAGAAATATCTTGGAATAAATCTGACCAAAGACACCAAAGATCTCTACAACGAAAATTTTAAATTGTTAAAGAAAGAGATTGAGGAGAACACCAGGAGATGGAAGGACCTCTCATGCTCATGGATTGGAAGAATTAATATTGTAAAAATGATCATCCTACCAAAAGCAATATATAGATTCAATGCAATCCCAATCAAAATCCCCATGACATACTTCACAGAATTAGAAAAAAACCAACCTCAAATTCGTATGGAAGCACAAAAGACCCCACATAGCCAAAGCAACCCTGAGCACAAAGATCAACGCTGGGGGGATTACTGTACCAGATCTCAAAGTATACTACAGGGCTATAGTCATAAAAACATCATGGTACTGGTACAAAATTAGACACATAGAACAATGGAATATCATTGAAGATCCAAACCTGAGTACATGCAATTTCAGCCACCTGATGTTTGACAAAGGTGCCAAGAACACACAATGGAGGAAAGACAGCACCTTCAACAAATGGTGCTGGCAAAACTGGATCTCCACCTGTAGAAGAATGAAACTAGATCCTTATCTTTAGCCTTGCACAAAATTCAGCTCCAAATGGATCAAAGACCTCAATGTGAAACTGGAAACCCTGAAACTATTAGAAGAAAATATTGGCAGTAACTTACAAGATAAGTGTAGGAAAGGATTTTCTACATCAGACAGAAGTTGCTTAGGAATTAAGGTCAGCAATCAACAAGTAGGACCTCATTAAACTAAAAAGCTCTATACAGCAAAAGAAACAATCAAAAAAGTGAAGAGAAAACACACAGAATGGGAGAAAATCTTTACCAGTGACACATCTGACAGAGTTTTAGCATCCAGAATATATAAAGAACTAAAAAAAAAAAAAAAGAATCGAGAAACCAATGACCCAATAAAAAGATGGGCTAAAGATCTAAACAGTTCTCAAAGGAAGAAATAAAGATGGCTAAGAACCATCTCAAAAAGTGTTCAACATCATTAGTAATTAGGGAAATGCAAATTAAAACCACTCTAAGGTATCACCTTACCCCAATCAGACTGGCTAGGATCAAGAGAACAAATGATACCAAATGCTGGTGAGGATATGGAAAAAGAAGAAAACTCATTCACTGCTGGTGGAATGTGTGTGTGCTTGCCTGCTCGCTTGCTTATATTCAGTTCTATTTCCTGTTTCTCTCACATGCTTCAGGGCCCCCTGTATAGGGAACGGTGCTGGGAACGGTGCTGGCCACGCTGGGCTGGCCCTTCCCACCTTAATCAACTTAATTAAGACAATCCCCCACGGACGTTTCTACAGGCCGACCCTTTCTACTTTTCCATTGCATACCTCTGCTTTTATGTTCTTCATTTAGATGACTAGAGATTCGCACTTGTGCGTTATAAAGACTCTGCTCCAGGGTTCATCTGTTCTTCGATCCAGTTTAACAACACTATTTTTTTTCCTTTTAAATTCCAGGTCCTTTTAATAAGATGATGCTGTACATCAGTCCCTTCTGCATGAAATAACTACCATCATCTCTACTTCAGCTGAGCCTGATCACTAAACATCGTCACAATTGGGCTTGTTGACAGTTGTGCTTATTCATTAAAAGAGGGCCAAGCAGGGTCATTGGCCCCTCTCCAGAGTATCCAGCCACTCTTCCCAGCCAACTGTATGTAATTTGGCCCTAATCACACATGGTCTCCTGGATTCAGGGAGGGCTAAGTTATACAATCTGGGGAAGGCTGAGAAGAGAGGGCATGACCCATGCTGGGTAAAGGCTTTCCAGTTTGAATACCCTCAGGTCATACATACACTTCAGCAATGCCTCAGTTATTTTGAAGCCTTTGAGAGGGAACTGACACTGATCCTAGCCACTCCAACAGCTATCAAAATACCTGAAAGCAAAGCCTGAATCCACCACTCTAGAGTTCAGCCTTGGCAGACAAAAGAAAAATGAGGAGGAACCCAATAGAGGGATGCTTTTGGAAACTCTAGTCAAGAAATTCCAGTGGACTCTTGTATGGACATTTGAAAATTTCCCTGTTCTGACTTTTTTCTAGTTCCCTGTCTAGAACTTGTAACGCTAATTACTCTTGCCTTTACTTCTCCTTCACATCTCCTAGTCACAATTCAAAGACTTTCTTTTCCCCCTAGAGATAAGAGTTATACAATCTGGGAGTCTTTTAGATAGACTCACTGAAGGGGTACCCTAATTGCCTCATCCAGAGTCCCTGTTCAGCATGGAAGAAGCCACAGCAGTCTGCGTCCTGATTCCCTATTGGCAATTTGGGTAACCTCTTCAGAGGATGGCGTGATAAGAATAGGAGGTAGGAGCCGGGCGTGGTGGTGCACGCCTTTAATCCCATCTCTCCAGAGGCAGAGGCAGGCAGATCTCTGTGAGTTCAAGGCCAAAGAAAAGTAGCCAGTTTCTTGGCTAAAAATCACAGTGCCCTTGGGCCTCTTAGCAACACACTCCATTCCAAAGGCCAAAAACATTGAAAATATTTGGGAGCTTTTATTTAATCCGTAAAAGATTTTAGGGTTACCTCTTCAGAGGGGTGAATGTTAGAGTAGCCAAAAGCCCCATTTAAAAAAAACTAATCAAAGAAGAAAGAGTACATGAACTTATCAGAAAAAAGTGATGGGCAGATATGGGAGGAGTTGGAGGGGAGGGAGTGGGCATGGATTTGATCAAAACACCTTATATGCATGTATGAAATTCTCAATAAATTATTTATTTAAAAATAAAACAAAAACCAAACCAAAAATAAAACAACAAAATCTGTCCAATGGGTGGACGATGTCCACTTCCCTGGGGCTCCCCAGAACACTTGGGGCCCTCACATAGCCTCACCCTGATTGAGCAAAGAGTGTGAGCACCCCAGTCTTCAGGGGGATCCAAATGTCTATTACCTGGGCTGAGATGTGGCTGAGGGGCAGGTAGCTGACCACTGCCTCCTGCTTCCTCAAGATATGATTCAGTCTGAGATCCCTCATCATCACCCCAGCCATCCGTGTGATCTACAAAACAGGCCACATCCCAGAGCGCCTCACCCAGGACTTCAGTGTGCGTGTGTACATGTGTGGAGGTCAGCAGTCAATGTCAGGTTGCTTCCTCAATTGCTTGACCTTATTTTTTTAATTTTGATTTCGTGTGTGTGTGTGTGTGTGTATTGCCTACATGGATGTAAGTGCACCACATGAGTGCAATGCTCAAAGTTGTCAGAAGAGGGTATCGGATTCCCTGGAACTGGAGTTATGGATGGTTGTTAGTGACCATGTGGGTGCTGGGAACTGGACCTGGGTACTCTTAGCTGCTGAGCTGGCTCTCCAGCCCCTCCTCTTTACTTTTTGAGACAGGGTCTCTCACTGGACCTGGAACTCACCTACCTGGCTGGGCTGTCTGGCCAGTGAGCACCCAGTATCTTGGGTGTCTGCCTTGCCAGCTGTGCCTGGCTTTTTATGTGGGTATTGGAGACTGAACTCAGGTCCTCATGCATGGGGAGCAGTTTACAAATTCACCATCTACCCAGCCCTGTGTCCAACCTTTTCACACTGCAATACAACATTGTCTTCTACAAAGTCCATGCTGGGAAGTGGATTCAGAAGAGTTCCTGGAGCTTGCTGGCCAGCCAGCCTAACCTAATGGGTAAGCACCAGGCTCAGAGAGACCGTGTGTCAAAACATAAGGTGGAGAGTGACTGAGGCAGCCACTCTCCAGCTGTATACATGAAGAGAATTCCTAATATGTAGGATCACCCTAGCACACTGGGAGGTGCTGCTCCGTATGCAGTATTAGCTAGCTGACACAAACCTGCAGTAGCTAATCATAGAATTATAAGTATGAAGGATTGGTATTAAATGCTGAGTAGGCTGGGGAATAACTATGATGGTTAATCTTGAAAGTCAACTTGTAGGGGCTGGGAAATGACTCTCAGGTAGAACACTTGCCACACAACTGTAAGAATCAGAGTTCAGATCCCCAGAACCCACATCAACCCTGAGTGAGGCGTAGTGGCCACCCAGTGCTAGAGATGTGGAGACAGGAAAGCCCTAGAGCACCTGGTTGGATACACTATCTGGATCTGCAAGCTCTGACCTGGTTCAAGTGGCAGACCTGATTCAATATGTCAGTTGGGGAGGTATCAAGGAAGACACCCAATGGCAATCTCTGGCCTCCACATGCATGTACACATGTGTCACATGTTCTCACACATGTTCCCAGGTGTGCTGGTATATTTCTGTCATCCTAGCACTCTGGGGGTGGAGGCAGAAGTGAGTTTGAGCTCAGCCTGGGCTACATCAAACCCCATCCACTCAAATAAAATAAAAATAAACCAACTCAGGCTAGAGAGATGGCTCAGTTGGTGAAGTATTTGCCTTGCAGACAGAAGGATCCAAGTTCAAATTCCTAAAATCCTGGGGCAGGAGAAATGGCTCAACAGTTAAGAAAGAGCACTGGCTGCTCTTATAGAGGAGCTGGTTCAGTTCCCAGCACCCACATGGTGGCTAACAACCATCCCTAACTCCAGTTCCAGGGGATCCGATGCCCTCTGACTCCATGGGCACTGCACAACATAGGTGCACCTACCTACATGCAGGCAAAATAACTCATATATAAAAAATCAAAATTTAAAAAAAAATTCCTAAAAGCCGGGCATGGTGGCGCACGCCTGTAGTCCCAGCACTTGGGAGGCAGAGGCAGGTGGAGCTCTGTGAGTTCAAGGCCAGCCTGATCTACATAGTGAGTTCCAGGACAGCTGGGGCTACAGGGAGACCCTGTCTCAAATAAAAAAAAAGACCAAAAAAAAAATTCCCAAAACCCAGGCAATCCCAGACACACACACATGCACACACACACACAGTCATTAACAGCATTGGCTGCTCTTGCAGAGGACCCAGATTCAGTTCCCAGCACCCACAAGGCAGCTAACAACCATCTCTAACTCCAGTTCCAGGGAATCCAACACCCTCTTCTACCAGTATTGCACACAAAGGAGCACTTACATACATGCAGGCAAAGCATTTATACACATAAAATAAAAATAATAAATAAAAATAAAAATCACCCATGCATCAAATAGAAACCATGAAACCAACTTCCATTTCACAGAGGGAAACTGAGGCTTCATGATGTTGGGTGTGTCACCCCATGTTGTTCGGCCTGGCTTTGGATCTTGATGTGCCCCAAACCCCAGGGCTCCACCAACTGTCTTGCTCCCCGGGGAAAACAGACACACACCATCTGGCCCCCACTCCCTCCTGTCTGGTCTTGGGGACCCGCAATCACTGCAGCATGAGGGGCTGTGGCTTACGTTGTCGTGACTCAGCATTACCCCCTTGGGGTTCGGCGCACTGGTTGGCCTTCTGACTCAGGATGATCCTGTCTAGCTGCACGTTGGTGATGCTGTTGCCCAGTTCCATGAAGTCGTGCTACTGTGGACGGGAGGATGGCGGTGGGTAATGGGCACCCAGCTGGCCTCTGGCGTAGACCCGTCCATGGCCCTGAGGTATGCTGGTGCCCAACTGGAGGAAGGGCGGAGGATGGGTCCCTAGAACTCTCGAAAAGGACCTAGGACCGGCATCCCACTCTGTCAATTCCCCATAATTTGCTCTTGGACAAGCCTTTCGGCTGCCCGTGCCTCAGTTTCCTCATGTATGACATTTGAAGGATAGCAGAAGGCCCTCTCTTTGGGTTGCCCTAAGCAGTGACTGACTGATTGCTATGTGACCTTGGGCAAGTCACTTTCCCTTCTGTACCCCAGCTCTTGCATCAAGCATCAAGGAGTCCCACACTGGTTGCAAAACAATGAAAGTCAGAACCCAAATAGCTTAAGTGAAAGATTTTTAAAGTACATTTAATTACTTTAAAAAATTGTTTTATGATAGTGAGTTCCAGGCCAGTTGGGGCTACAGGGGAAACTCTGTCTCATAAGAAACCAAAACAAAAATTTTAATAAAAATTATTTATGGCCGGGCGTGGTGGTGCATGCCTTTAATCCCAGCACTCGGGAGGCAGAGGCAGGTGGATCTCTGTGAGTTCAAGGCCAGTCTGGTCTACATAGTGAGTTCCAGGACAGCTGGGGTTACAGGTAGACCCTGTCTCAAAAAGACCAAAAAACATTATTTATTTTATTTTATACATATGAGTATTTTGCCTGCATGTATGTATGTGTACCTGTGTTGTGCAGTGCTCATGGAGACCAGAATAGGGCATCAGAGCCCCTGAAACTGAAGTTACAGATTGTTGCTAGCCACCATGTGGATGTGGGAATCGAACCCAGGTCCCCTGCAAGAGCAGCCAGTGCTCTTAACCCCCAAGTCATCTCTCTAGCCCCTACATCTAGTTACTTATTTTTGCGTGTGAAGGTCACAGAACCACCTTTGCAAGTTGGCTCTCTCCCTCTACCATGTAAGTTCCAGGGATCAGACTTGGTGGCAAGCCCCCTTTCCTGCTGAGCCCTCTCATTGGCCCCCATAGAAAATTTCCATGTATTGCTGGGAATAGTGGGAGACCCCGGAAAGAGCTTTTCAGAGTTCCTGCGTCTTAGTTACTGAGTGGACCAGCTGGCTCCACCAGGACTCCAGAAGTCAGGCCTGAGTGGCTGAAACCAGAGGACCCCATCCATGTTGGTCACAGTCATTGGACAGGGTTCTGAACATGTGACTTCAAAACCTCAGAGAGATGATTGAAGGCTTTACCAGGAAATGCTGGTGTCAGTGCCTAGATGTAGCCCGGTGACTATGAACATGGAGAAAGGGGCAAGGCAGGGGTCAAGGGACCCAACAGAGGACCCCTTTTGCTTAAGCCATTCGGAGTCAGGGTTTGTACTTCAAATGTAACAAAGTGTTTATAAGCTGAATCTTTTTTTAAAAAAATATTTTATTTATTATTTTTGCTTTCTGTGAATGAGTGTATTGTCTGCATGTATGTAAGTGTACCACATGTGTGCAATGCCCTTGGAGGTCAGAAAAGGGAAATGAAGTTATGGTTGTTAGCCTCCATGTGGGTGCTGGGAACCGAACCCGGGTCCTCTGTAAGAGCAGCCAGTGCTCTTACTGCTGAGGCAGCTCTCCAGCCCCTCAACCCTACAATTTTAAGAGTCAGCAGAAGACCTGAGTTTGAATCCCAGCACCCACATGGTGGCTAACAACTGTCCATAACTCCAGTTCCAGGGGACCCAACAGCCTCTTCTGTCTTCTGTGGGCACTGCACAACATAGGTGCACTTAGCTACACACAGGCAATACCTGCATACACATAAAAATAATAAATGAAAAAAAATTTAAAACTGCAGGGTTGAGCTCCTGATGTGGTGGTGCAGGCTTGTCAATCCCAGCACTCAGGAGGCAGAGGCAGGAGGATTTCAAGGTCAGTCTGGGACATACAGTGATTTAAAGGCTAGCCTGGGCTACATATTCAGCCCCTGTCTCAAATCAAGCCTTATATAATCTGCCTTCTGTTGCAGAGCAGATACTGTGCTATGCCATACAACCATCCTCCAGAAGCCAGGGTCCTCAGTTTGGGAGAGATCCTGACTCCAGGACACACTGGCTAAGATTCAGGCTGGGTGTTGTCGTGATACAGAGCGTCCTGCTGCCACCTAGCTGCCAGACGTCGACATGTCACTCAGAGTCCCACTACAGCAGGACCACCACTGTCCCCAAATCCCAGAGTGACTAACCTGGGGGACAGGCTGTCAGGGCGACTTCTACCAGAGGCTTGCTTTTCCTTTTTCCTTTCTCTCTACCAAACATCCATTCCAGGAAATTGAACCCAGGGCCTCTCACACCATATAGCCTGGCCCCCAGCCCCTCACTGGGGATTCTAGGCTGTCACCCTACTCCTGAGCCACGCCCCCAGCCCCTCACTGGGGAGTATAGGCTGTCACTCTATCCCTGAGCCACGCCCCCAGCCCCTCACTGGGGAGTCTAGGCTGTCACTCTACCCTGAGCCACGCCCCCAGCCCCTTACTGGGGGACTCTAGGCTGTCACTCTACCCTGAGCCAGGCCCCCAGCCCCTTACTGGGGGACTCTAGGCAAGGGCTCTACCCTGAGACCTTTTTAGTTTGTATTTTGACACAGGATCCCAGTAGTTGACCAGTTTGGCCTTGAACTCACAATCCTCCTTTCTAGTCTTCCAAGTTGCTGAGGTTACAGGCCTGTGTCCCCAACCTGGCTTAAAAGATGACTGGTTTGGTTTTATTTGTCTTTTTGAGACAGGATCTCCCTGTAGCCCCAGCTGTCCTGGAACTCACTATGTAGACTTGAACTCACAGAGATCCACCTGTCTCTGCCTTCCGAGTACTAGGATTAAAGGCATGCACCACCATGCCCGGCTAGATGACTGTTTTAAGTGATCCAAAAATGTTGCTGAGGTAGACCTGTGTGTTTGATCTGGTCCCCGCCCCTCCACAGGCCCCGCCCTCACAGGTTCCACCCCTCAACCGGCCCCTCCTTCCACCGGCCCTGCCCATCAATAGGCCCTCCTCCAACAGAC